AGACTCTTGTATCTCTACCCACCAAGATTTTTCTTATTGCATTTTACTTTCTGTAACTTATCACATTAAAAAGGTTTAAGTTTTTCTAAATATTAAATTATACTACATTACCAAACACAACACTAGCAAACCCTAAGTACTCTTTAAAATCCTACACCCCCACTGAGAATTACTGCAGCAAACTAGATGGCTCTGTTTTTAGCCTGATAGAATATATTTAGCCAGGAAAAAATAAAAAATAATTGTGTTAGACTAAAAAGGGGAAACAGTAAAGTATTGAGACTATTTAGACAGACAACTTATTAAAAATAAAGCTGAGGGTGGGGAGGATTGACAAGGATTAGTGCCTCCCGGTACCTGAAGGTGTACTTTTTCCTAAGTTTTAGCGCTGCAGTGTTATGGTCAATTTATCCTCTGTTTCTGAAATCACTACTTTATTTTAGCCTTTTCTGGGTTTCTGAAGCAGACTGCTTTGACAGAACAATCTGAGCTGGTTATACCTTGGCTTTTATACCTAAGCTATTGTTGGGATGCCAGTGTTTTGACAGCTAAAGCCAGCTGGCACGAGGCCTCTGTGGAGAGCCCAGATGTAGAGGCAAGGGCCTCAGCATCTTGATCAAACCTTTCAGCATTTCTCCATGTTTCAAAGCATCTGCTAAATCTCATGAAAGTCACATGACACAAAACTGAGCATGGAATGTTCCTAAACACCTAAAAACTTCCAAATAGAGTATATGAGGAAAAAGCTGGAATTAGAACTCGATTTCAGTTTTAACCTGCTTAAATCTCAGCCTTATCTAAATCTCATGACCCTAAACACACCCCTCTTTGTACACTATGATACGTACAAGTACAGCTGGTGTTCCCATTGACAAGAGAGACAGATCCTTAACCACAAATTGGTGGAATTTATTTCATGCTCTAACTTAGGATCTACCAATGTCTCTAGGATTAAAGGCTTACATTATACTGATTTACTTGATTTATTTTTTTTGAAACAAAATTCCATAACTTTCTGATGAATTTGTTTAAACAGAATATGTTC